ATTATAATTACTTATATGAATCATGCAATATTTCAACACATACTAAGATTTTACATTTTTAAAAAATGCAAACTAAAAAAGGCAATTCAATACTTAAGCTCTGGACCTATGCATATCTAAGAGTGAAGGATTGTAGCTTGCTGTAGTTTTCTCAAAACCCACAGACTTGAGAAAGCTTAGAAATTCAGACTTAAGGTTAAAAAGAAAACAATAACCAATATCAGCAAGAATGGAAACAAATACTGAAGGACTTCTAAAAAATCTTTAATTCTGCCTCTGTTCTGTAGCATTCTGTGCACTCATCACACCTTGTGGGTAAGATGGAGATATTCTGATGGAAGATTTTATAGGAACCTAAAGAAGTTTGAAGCCTGTGGATATCTTTAATCCATAAAATCTACTTTATTTATAAAGGATGTCTATGGAGTCAAAGAACGTGGACGTATGAAACTTTGGTTTTCTTTATATGTTATCAAGGATACTAAAGAGATTTCTCAAAAATGTAAACTATCTAAGTCTTGGTCTGATCTTTAAGAGGTTTGAAACAAGACACTGTAGTTACATGTCTACGCTTAGTCTCATATCTCTTATTTACACAACATTTACACTTTTACAGAGTGCCTCTAGGGAACTGTCCCAAATGAACAGCCCTAAATGTGGTCACAGTTGGTGACCCAAAGGTCTTAAAGAAAGCAGGAAGCGTTCACTCTATCATTGTAAAGACAGGTACAATGCAGTTTAAATGTTACAGCAGAGTACAAACAAAATTAAAATAGTCCAAATATATCACTTCCTCAATTTTCAGAGTAATTGGTGCATTAAATGTGCTTTGTTTGTGAATGATGTAGTCTATGGTTTTTCACTTGTTTTCTGGCCTGTGACACAGAGGTGGGGTTGAAGTTATTCTGTAAATCTTGATTGGTCATTTCCATATTTTATAATGCTGTGGGAGAGAGGGAAGGCATACCATGTAATCGTAACTTTGAATATCCAGGGCAATGTTGCTGTCGTCAGAGGATGACGAAAGTCTCTGAAAAGCTTTTCCCATTAAGTCACTGATTTTTTTATTTTCTCTTTCTCTCTCTGGTTATAGATTAGGGCTGTCGATTAATCGCAGTTAACTCACGCGATTAACTCAAAAAATTAACTGCAATTAATCGTGGCTTTAATAGCCCTGTTAAACAATAGAATACCAATTGAAATTTATTAAATATTTTTGGATATTTTTCTACATTTTCAAATATATGGATTTCAGTTACAACATAGAATACAAAGTGTACAGTGCTCACTTTATATTAATTTTTATTACAAATGTTTGCACACTAAAAATGTTAAAAAATAGTATTTTTCAATTCACCTCATACAAGTACTGTAGTGCATTCTTTTTATTGTGAAATTGCAACTTACAAATGCAGATTTTTTTGTGTTACATAACTGCACCCAAAAACAAAGTAAAACTTTAGAGTCTACAAGTCCACTCAGTTCTACTTCTTGTTCAGCTAATCGCTAACACAAACAAGTGTGTTCACATTTGCAGGAGATAATGCTGCCCGCTTGTTATTTACAATGTCACCTGAAAGTGAGAATAGGGGTCCACAGGGTACTTTTGTAGCAGACATTGCAAGGTATTTATGAGCCAGATATGCTAAGCATTTGTATGCTTCGGCCACTACTCCAGAGGACATGCTTCCGTGCTGATGACACTCGTTAAAAAATGTGTTAATTAAATTTGTGACAAACTCCTTGGGGGAGAATTGTACAACCCCTGCTCTGTTTTACCAGCATTCTGCCATATATTTCATGTTATGGCAGTCTGTGATGACGACCCAGCACACGTTCATTTTCAGAACACTTTCACAGCAGATTTGACAAAATGCAAAGAAGGTACCAATGTGAAATTTTTAAAGATAGAGACATCACTCAACTGAAGGTTTAAGAATCTGAAGTGCCTTCCAAAATCTGAGAGGGACAAAGTGTGGAGCATGCTTTCAGAAGTATTAAAAGAGTAACACTCTGACGGGGAAGCTACAGAATCTGAACCACCAAAAAAGAACATCAATCGTATCCTGGTGGCATGTGACTCAAATGATGAAAACGAACATGCATCAGTCCGTACTGCTTTGGATCATTACTGAACAGAACCTGTCATCAGCATGGACACATGTCCTCTGGAATGGTGGTTGAAGCATGAAGGGACATATGAATCTGGCACATAAATATCTTGCTACGTCAGCTACAACAGTGCCATGCAAAGGCCTGTTCTCACTTTCAGGTGACGTAAATTAGAGGCAGGCAGCATTATCTCCCGCAAATGTGAACACGCTTGTTTGTCTGAGTGATTGACTGAACAAGGAGTAGGACTGAATGGACTTGAAGGCTCTATAGTTTTACAATTTTTTTAATGCAGTTATTTTTGTACATAATTCTACATTTGTGAGTTCACCTTTCATGATAAAGAGATTGCACTAATGTACTTGTAATATGAGAATTGAAAAATACTATTTCTTTTGTTTTTACAGTGCAAATATTTGTAATCAAAAATATAAAGTGAGCACTATACACTTTGTATTCTGTGTTGTAATTGAAATCAATATATTTGAAAATGTAGAAAACATCCAAAAATATTTAAATAAATGGTATTCTATTATTGTTTATGAGCACAATTAATTGTTTTAATTGCTTGACACCCCTATTTTTATAGATACGTGTGTGTGTATACGTAACATCTTAACTCCATCTTAATCAAATTTAAATGCTTGTGAATTTCCCTACATTATTTGGGGGAAAAAAAAATATATAAGAATGGCTCAGTGTCAGTGTTTCCTGTGAAGGTACAAGGTGTGCAGAGACTTTGGGGAAAGACTGCAAGGTGTTTCTCATGCCTCCTCCTTCCCTCCATTGTGAAAGCTTCATTAGGATGGCGGGGACAGAAGAGAATGTAGAGTGGATTCAATATATTTGGACTACTCGTCTCTTGAAACTGCTATGTACATCTCGTTTTCTTCCTAGCCTACCCATGTATGGCACTCTCTCCTGCTTACCCCTCAGAATACTCCTTCCTCATAGGACTCCCCACATTGTGATCACCAACATCTGAGCCATGTAGACTTCTATGAACTCTACATAGCCCATAATTAAGGCTGCATGTCTGTCATGGAAGTCACGGATTCCGTGACTTTCCGTGACCTTTGCAGCAGCTGGTGTGTCTGGCTGAGGGGCTACCCGAACACTCTGGCAACTCCTGGGCCCGCAGCAGTTTGGGTGTGGGAGGGGGCTCAGGGCAGGGGGTTGGGGTGCAGGGCAGCACTTACCTGGGCAGGCAGGGGAAGGCTCCCTGGAAGCAGCCGGCATGACCCAGCAACTCCTGACATACGCAGAGCAGCCAGGGGGCTTTGCACGCTGTCCCTGCTTGCAGGCACCGCCCCCGCAGCTCCCATAGTCTGCGGTTCCTGGCCAATGGGAGCTGCAGAACCAGAGCTTGGCAGGGGCAGTGTGCGGAGCCCACCTGGCCTTCCTTCCCCCTAGGAGTTGCAGGGACACGCAGAGCTGGGTAGTGAGCCTACCAGCCCCACCAACCGTGCCCCCCAGCACCAGCTGGGATCCCTATCTGTGTGTCACTGGTGGGCACCCCCTCCACCCCCAAGAGCCAGCCATGGTCTCACACTGCCATCCCCCACCTCCTCCCCAGCACCAGCAGGGGTCCCAGGCCACCCTCCCCAGCACCCACGGCACCCCCCAGACCACCACCACCACCCCCGAGCACCCCGGGGCCCTGACCCAAGTTTTAGTTATGGGTAAATAGTACAAATCATGGACAGGCCATGGGCTGTGAATTTATATTTTCTGCGTGACTTTTACTAAAAATACCAGTGGCTAAAACGTAGCCTTACCCATAATGCATGTGAAAACTTTGCAATGACAACTATTACTAACAAAACTGCCAAAAAGGTACCAGCCCTTGCCAAGTCCAACATATTAAGCCTAATTTAGAATGAGGCTAAGTAATTTTGACAACTTAAACAGGATCAATAAAGTGGTCACAAGAGATCACTTTCAATTTCTGAACTCTCATCTCTCTGAAATGCCTCATCCAATTTATTTCTCACTTTTTGGGGAAAAAATTCTCTCCTGGCATAAAAACATATCTGTGAAATTTCACATGTATTGGTTTATTTTGGGAAAAGTTGGAATGAGTTTAGTGTGGTGGCGTGAAAGAGAAAAAGAAAAAAAAAGTCATTTATGACAGACTGTTTGCTTCAATATTAACTATATGAAGACTTGCCTCTTCACAATTCATGTACATTAGGCCTCATACCTTTGTCTTGTAACTCACTTCTAAAGAAGTCCATATTTAAAATCTCAGAAATTTGCTCTAAACTACTGGCTGTCACATAAAAAACCAAAACCTAATACAGGGTTGGGTGGGGTTTTGTTGTGGGGTTGTTGGGGTGTTTTTTTTGAGGGGGGGGCACGGGGAAGAGGAGAGGGGAAAATCATCTGGGGAAAGGAGAGTAACATACTAAAGGAAAAAAGTTATTAATGGCAGATTTATACATAAAACATAAGAATGCCCATATTGGGTCAGACCAGTGGTCCATATAGCCCAGAATCCTGTCTTCCAACAGTGGCCAACAGTAGATGCTTCAGGTGAATGAACAGAACAGGCAATTATCAAGTGATCCATCCCCTTGCTGTCCAGTCCCAGAAACTAGCAATCAGAGGCTTAGGGGACACCCTGAGCATGGTGTTGCATCCCTGACCATCTTGGCTAACAGCAAATGATGGACCTGTCCTCCATGAACTTATCTAATTATTTTTGAACCCCGTTATATTTTTGGCCTTTATAACTTCTCCTGGCCTGGAGTTCCACAGGTTGACTATGCATTGTGTGAAGTACTTCCTTTTGTTTTAAACCTGCTGCCTATCAGTTTCATTGTTACATACACCTCACCAACAACTGCATACACAAAGAATAGCCCATTTCCCTGATGATAGCCTACCGTGCCTTTATCCTGAAGGCACATCATTAGCGTGCAGACATCTCCTGTTGCTTGATGGTTCACCAACATCATGGCTTCATCTTCTGAAACCACTTTAACATCATCTCCCCATTCGACTACTGTTAAAAGAAAAAAAAGGAAAGAGTAAAGCTTTAAATCTGATCAAATTTTTAAAGCTACGAGAAGTCTTACAAATAGAAACCTACAAGCTCCAGGCCAATTTAAACTAGCACATAACACTGGACAATCATTAGATTAGCAATGCCATTTCCCCGAGCAAAACAGGAACCCAGTTTGTAACTTTTAATCAGCAAGCACTGTAAAAACAACTGAAATAATCTACCAGAACATATATACACACAAAATAAATCTCTTTTCTTATATCAGTCACCACACTATATTTGGGCCTTCAAAACCCACTATAAAACTTTTGACCCATCTTTCAAGTTGAGCCGTCTCCCCTCATTAGATGCAGAAGTGGCCCAAAACGTCAAATTTTAGTCTCCACATTTGTTTCACCTCCACGTTTATTCGTAAGAAACTGTTCTGGTTAAACAAAATAAGCCCTGTAAATTTAATATGCTTAATATCCTAAGATACATAAGCTTACCTACAATTTCTCCAAACTTAAGAAAATTATTTGTAGGAGAAAAAGTGTTGGTTCAGAGAATGAGTTGCTCAAAGAACAGGAACAATTAGTCATTATTTAGTATAGCTGAGACCAAAAATGTGCGTGGCAAGAGTGGTGAGAGGATGTTAGTCAGCAGCTGTGGTATCCAAACTTTACAAGAACAAGCAAAACTACCAGAAGAGGTCAGAAGGCAGACATTAACATTCTTGACTTGATGGTCACAATGTGACTAAACTCAGAAATGAAAAAGAGACAACCTCCTACAGGAGAACAGACAATGAAATTTTGGTAAAAACTTAGTTCAAATGAGAGACCTTTAAACACAAACACACACAAGCCTGTTGCCTGAGCAATGAAAGACTCGAGTGAGGAGAATCCCTCCTCAGCTGAACGGATGGTCACTTAGATGCAAGGACTACAAGGAGAGGAAAGGCAGTAAAGTAGTTCTATTATATTCAGAAGGAAAATACTGGATAACGTGTTTGTTTGGTGGGTTTTTTGGTTTGTTTGGGGTTTTTTTTTTTCCTGCACCTTTATCCACTACCTCATGAAGTTCTTACTTGGCTGACCAACATACCAGTTTTTTACATCACAAGAGAGAGAGACATATTCTATCACTCTGTCCTACAGAAGTTAACACCATATCTTTAATACAGTAATCCTTGACTGCCATCAGCAACAGCTCTCTCAGCCAGCCAGAGAAGGGCTCACCACACAGGAGTCTCAGTAAATTGCACTCTTATTACTCTCCCCCATCCATCATCTGTACAGTAACTGAACTAAGCACAGCAACAGGATACCCGCAGAAGACAGGAAGCAGTACTCAGTGCATAACATGGATTTCCAAGCCCTACCAAAAGGACACCTTTTGACGTTTATTTTCTCCTCCTTTGGTTGGTAAAGATCATAACGTTGATGCAATATACTTGACTTCTATAAAACTGGAACAGATGTAAAATTAACATGGCTCACATGAAATAGATAAAAAGCTGGCTAAGTGACAGATCTCAAAATGTAATTTTAAATAAAGAATCAAACAGGTGTGATTCTAGTGGGGGTCAGCAGAGATTGGCTCTTGGTCCTATGCTATTTAACACTTTATCAATGACTTAGAAGAAAGCAAAAATCACTGATAGTTTGCAGAGGACACAAAAATTGGGGGAGTGGTAAATAATTAAGAGGAAAGGTCACTAATATAGAGAGTCATCTGGACTGCTTGATAAGCAGTCAATATGCAAACAATATGCATTTTAATACGGTTAAATGTAAACATACACATCTAGGAACAAAGAATGCAGGCCATATTTACGGAATGGGGAACTCAATCCCGGGAAGCAGTGACCCTGAAAAAGATTTGGGAGTCGTGGTGGAGAATCAGCTGGACATGAGCTTTCGAGTGCAATGCTGTCACCAAAAGGGCTAACGGGATCCTTGGATGTACAAACAGGGGAATGTATAGCCGGAGTAGAGAGGTTATATTACCGCTGTATTGGGCACTGGTGTGACTGCTGCTGGAATACTGTATCCAGTTCTGGTGCCAACAATTCAAGAATGATGTTTATAAATTGGAGAGGGTTCAGAGAACAGTCCTGAAAATGATTAAAGGATTAGAAAACATGTCTTACAGGGATAGACTCAAGGAGCTCAATCTTAATTGATCACAGTCAAAAACCTATATGGGGAATAAATATTTTAATGGGCTCTTCAGTGGCTGTAAGTCAAAGCTAGACAAATTCAGAGTGGCAATAAGGTGTGTGTGTGTATTTTTTTTTTTTTAAACAGTGAGGGATATTAACTATTGGAACAATTTACCAGGGGGGGTCATGGTGGACTCTCCATCACTGGCAATTTTTAAATCAAGATAAGATGTTTTTCTAAAAGATCCCCAAAAAAATTCCTAGAGGGTAAGTTCTATGGCCTATGTTATTCAGGAGGTCAGAATAAAATCACCACAATGGTCCCTTCTGGTCTTGGAATCTATGAATCCTCAGAAATCCAGACAGCACTGCACTCTCAGATTTCAGAAGACATGCAGAGCTTTTGGCCATATCTGACAGCTACAATATAGTGTGAATTGAGCCTTAATACAAAAAGTTAAATTCTACATCTGGACCGCAACTCAACAAATCAGATGACTGATATTGGGAGATATATTTCTGGTACCATACAACCTGCCCTTTCTCTCCACAGTGAGAGAAGCAACAGACCCTCCTCAATTTGCTTAACACACACCTGGAAGATTCTATCTGTCCCTAACCGGCTCCTTGACCATTTGCAAATCCTCTTTCTCAAGAAAGTTTGGTCCCTCCCTGAATGAATCGTTTAAATTATAAACTGAATCCTACTTGGAGCAGATTACCTGAACATACAATCAGTTTACAGAGCATCTGTCATGTACCTATATAGACAAACTAACACACAGTACTGAGAGATACTATCCATATATCTGAGGTTATAGGGAAAAGATTATGGTTTTAAGTTTCACATGAGAAATACCATAGTATATGATCCTTTATGAAAGCATAATTTCAATATGCTTTCACTATGCAGCTAAATTGACAACTCACCAATGCATAACACTGCCTCAATGCTGTGCTTCTGAAGCCTGGCCTCTCTCCCTCCCCGAAAAAATACATTATGCATATATAAAGTGCAATTTCACAGCACCTAACTCTTACTGTGTCAAACCACTTTTTCACCAGATTGCTCAAAAAGGGGACTGCTCAATGAGGGTCTTTTCCTTGCCAAATGTCATTTCCACTGTCCAAAAAGTTGCAAGATTTATTTAATTTATTTATTTTCAGGAAATGTATAAATATGACTGGTTCTGAATGCCTATAGGGGAACACTCCTTCTGCGCAAGCTGAACTACACACCGCATGAGAAGTACTTCCTGGGAGGAGTGGTATGTATGCCTCCTTTTCATACTGTACTACTTGATCTTTACACAGTAAATTGCCTAAGTTTGGTAACCTGGTCTCAAAAACATTTTCATTATTGAATTACAAGGACAGTCAACCAATTGGCTACACTTTAGACAGATTCCAGAGTTGTTCACATGGGTCTTGCATGCAGCATCAGGTGAGTTTGTTTTTGCAATTTTTTTTTAAAAAGGAAAATATAATGGTAAACCCTCCCAAAATTGGTAGGGACACCAATCAATGAGGGAGGTGTGGTACAGACAATACTTATAACTTTTTTTTAAAAGTTTAATTTCAAGTTTGTGGTGTCCCTTTAAACTTCAGTGTAATACGTACATAGTTCTATCATGGCAGGCACTCCCGCCCTTGTAAACTTTCAGACTGTTAGAACAAGGAAAATGAGTGCATTTTTTCTTTAAGGGATATTTGTGGTATTGCATTCACTTCTGCAAGTGGAAAAACACAGCTCAAACATCAGGTGTGTGGCAGCAAAACAAGGGGACACTGCTGTTCTTCACTATGGAAAGGCAACAGTTCAGTGACAAACATTTGTCACTTGGGGTTCTTGAACAGCAGCAAATGCTCCTCTCCTAATTTCCTCCCATTGCCAAGACACATTGCATGTCACAGTGATTCTGAATTTAGCAGCTCCAAAATAAATCATGTTTCTGCAAATACCAGTTCAGCACACAAGAGGGAATAAACTTGGGTAAAGTTTTAACAGGTTTTGAAATCTGTGCATAGGGTTTCACCAGCCACGAGCATAGAACTCCAAAGCCATCTGGCTGGCTCCCCTGCTTATGAACAGCCAGCTCAGGACAGAGATTCCTGAAAGCGTACATACCTGGGACAAAGGAGATGGGAGGTGTCCCGGGGCTTAATCCTGCACCATTCAAGTCTATGGGAAATTTTCCTACTTATTTGAATGGAACCGGATCAAGCCCCATAATCCATAAGTAAGGCTAAGATTTTTTTCACTGATATTTTTTTAGTAAAAGTCACTGACAGGTGAAGGGCAATAAAGAAAAATTCCTGGAAGCTAGTGACCGGTCCCTGACTTTTACTAAAAATACCCATCAAAAAATGGGAGCCACTAGGCAGTTGCAGGGGCCTGGCTGGGAGCTCCAGAGATCTTTGGAAGTCATGAATTCCATGATTTCCAAAACCTCTGTGACAAAATTCTAGCCTTACAAGCACAGCTTCAGGCAGCTTTTGAAGCCTCTCTGCTGCTCCTTCTCCCAAGCATTATGTCTTTATTATCTGAAACCGAATTATGTCAGCAGTAAGGGGGACCTGGCCCTGTTTCAGTTAAATGAGATTATACTAATTTACAGATAGCAATTCTAAACTCATGGTGAATTTAGTGCTGATGAAACTTGCCAGATTAAGACTTTTGGATACTGAAATCTTCTACACACAAAAAATACACACAAGCAACATGCTTACAAGCAGAAAAAGCTTTACCTACAGCTACCTCAATTCTGACCTGGAAGGGCCACATCAGGGAACGGAAGGGTTGTTGAGCCTCCATGTACAGGACCCAGAGCTCCAAATTCAGATTTTGGAT